TGCCATTACTTAGATTTTCCCTTTTCTCACTGTTTTATTGTCGATTTGGGATGATACGAATATTTAGTATATATTAAAGACGTCTGTATTCATCTGACCTCATTTGACGTTTAAACCTATATAATGTACATGAATTTTAGGTACTATTTTTCTTGCGGATGAATACAGCTGTTCTGTATTGTATTCTGTTGTAGACTGTTAAATTTTGGATCCATGTGTCGACGCTTTAAATCACACGGATCCATTACCTTCTAACTGTTTAATTCCGTTTTTTTCATTGAATATTCTTATATTACAAATCTTTCCTTACACTAGAAACGTAATCACTGGGTTATACTTTTAAACAGGTATTTAAACAACGAATGACAGGAATAACAGTTGATATCTCAATAACATTATAAATTAGGTGAAAATTAAAATAAGTTGGACTATAAACGCCTTAAATGGCCACTCTTCAAGTAATGGCATAACATACCATGCATCGGCGCAGATCCCCCCTCTTTAGCAATAGTCGCCCGCGCATGGACTGTCCCCACCACTAATTTTTGACGAATTGCTGAATGTCTGAGGATTGGTGGAGCAATTACTCATTATTAAGACAAAAATCAAAAACGTCCATTTTCACTTTTGACGGTGTATCTCTGCGAGTGAAATGGGGCCGTCAGATAAGCCGCCCATAATATGAACTGTTTATGTTCATGTGTAAGCAATTGGCCTGTTATTAACATACACTGGTTACCTCTAATAAAAACAGCTGTGCATTTCCGCAGTTTTGTATTGTTTCTGAATATCCCCTGATTCTTTTTTGCCAGTGGCTATTTGCAACATGTGGTAAGCAAGAATTTGAAAATAGCCTTACGACTACAGACCGCAATTGTTACCCGATTTTAATGAAACTTACAGATTATGATAACATTGATGACATCTCTGACTAGCAAAACTTTCGGCCACTTCCGGTTGGCGGTTTCCGAGATATGGGGGTTACCACACATTTCATGTGGCACGGCTAAAGACCGCATATGAACCGATATCCATGAAACTTACAGAATATGATAACAATAATAATATCTCAGAGTAGCCAAAATTTCGACCACTTCCGGTTAGCAGTTTCGGAGATATCAGGTTACCACACATTTCATGTGGCACGGCTACAGACCCCAATTACCAACCGATGTCCATGAAACTTACAGAATATAATAACCTTAATAATATCTCAGAGTAGGCAAAATTTCGACCACTTCCGGTTAGCTGTTTCCGAGATATCAGGTTACCACACATTTCATGTGGCACGGCTACAGACCCCAATTACCACTTCGGGTTAGCGGTTTCCGAGATATCAGGTTACCACACATTTCATGTGACCGGCTAAAGACCACAATTATCAACCGATGTCTATGAAACTTGCAAATTATAATTACTTCAATAATATCTCAGAGTAGTCAAAATTTCGACTACTTCCGGTTAGCAGTTTCGGAGATATCAGGTTAGCACACATTTCATGTGGCACGGCTACAGACCGCAAGTACCAACCGATTTCAATGAAACTTGCAGATTATAATTACAATAATATCTCAGAGTGCGCAAAATTCCGACCACTTCCGGTTAGCGGTTTCCGAGATATCAGGTTACCACACATTTCATGTGGCACGGCTACAGACAACAATTATAAACCGATATCCATGAAACTTATAGAATATGATAACATTAATAACATCTCAGAGTAGGCAAAATTTCGACCACTTCCGGTTAGCGGTTTCCGAGATATCAGGTTACCACACATTTCATGTGGCACGGCTAAAGACCACAATTATCAACCGATTTCCATGAAACTTACAGAATATGATAACATTAATAATATCTCAGAGTAGGCAAAGTTTCGTCCACTTTCGGTTAGAGTTTTCCGAGATATTAGGTTACCACACATTTCGTATCATTTGCTGCCTCAGGGATTAGAATTGTTTGCCAGAAAATGATGCTGAAAATACCCACAGAGAGCGTTTTAGAGCGTCTAGGCAAAATTTCGACCACTTCCGTTTAGCGGTTTTGGAGATATCAGGTTACCACACATTTCATGTGGCACGGCTACTGACCCCAATTATCAACCGATATCCATGAAACTTATAGAATATGATAACATTAATAACATCTCAAAGTAGCCAAAATTTCGACCACTTCCGGTTAGCGGTTTCCGAGATATCAGGTTACCACACATTTTGTGTGGCACGGCTACAGACCCCAATGATCAACCGATTTCAATGAAACTTGCAGATTATAATTACTTTAATTTATCAACCGACTTCCATGAAACTTACAGAATATGATAACATTAATAATATCTCAGAGTAGCCAAAATTTCGACCACTTCCGGTTAGCTGTTTCCGAGATATCAGGTTACCACACATTTCATGTGGCACGGCTACAGACCCCAATTACCAACCGATGTCCATGAATCTTACATAATATAGTAACATTAATAATTTTGGCTACTCTGAGATATTATTAATGTTATTATATTCTGTAAGTTTCATGGATATCGGTTGATAATTGTGGTCTGTAGCCGTGCCACATGAAATGTGTGGTAACCTGATATCTCGGAAACCGCTAACCGGAAGTGGTCGAAATTGTCCCTACTCTGAGATATTATTAATGTTATTATAATCTGCAAGTTTCATTGAAATCGGTTTGTAATTGCGGTCTGTAGCCGTGCCACATGAAATGTGTGGTAACCTGATATCTTGGAAACCGCTAACCGGAAGTGGTCGAAATTTTTACTACTCTGAGATATTATTAATGTTATCATATTCTGTAAGTTTCATGGAAGTCGGTTGATAAATGTGGTCTGTAGCCGTGCCACATGAAATGTTTGGTAACCTGATATCTCGGAAACCGCTAACCGGAAGTGGTCGAAGTTATTATATTCTGTAAGTTTCATGGATATCGGTTGATAATTGTGGTCTGTAGCTTTGTCACATGAAATGTGTGGTAACCTGATATCCCAGAAACAGCTAACCGGAAGTAGTCGAAATTTTGGCTACTCTGGGATATTATTAAGTAATTATAATCTACAAGTTTCATTGAAATCGGTTGATAATTGTGGTCTGTAGCCGTGTGCCACATGAAATGTGTGGTACCCTGATATCTCGGAAACCGCTAACCGGAAGTAGTCGAAATTTTGGCTACTCTAAGATATTATTAAAGTATAAAGTAATTATTAATCTGCATGTTTCATTGAAATCGGTTGATAATTGTGGTCTGTAGCCGTGCCACATGAAATGTGTGGTAACCTGATATCTCGGAAACTGCTAACCGGAAGTGGTCGAAATTTTGCCTACTCTGAGATATTATTAATGTTATCATATTCTTCAAGTTTCATTGAAATCGGTTGGTACTTGCGGTCTGTAGCCGTGCCATATGAAATGTGTGGTAACCGGATATCTCCGAAACTGCTAACCGGAAGTAGCCGAAATTTTGACTACTCTGAGATATTATTGAAGTAATTATAATCTGCAAGTTTCATGGAAATCGGTTGATAATTGTGGTCTGTGGTCGTGCCACATGAAATGTGTGGTAACCTGATATCTCGAAAACCACTGACCGGAAGTGATCGAAATTTTGGCTACCCTGAGATATTATTATTGTTATCATATTCTGTAAGTTTCATGGAAATTGGTTGATAATTGTGATCTGTGGCCGTGCCACATGAAATGTGTGGTAGCCTGATATCTCGGAAACCGCTAACCGGAAGTAGTGGAAATTTCGCCTACTCTGAGATATTATTAATGTTATCATATTCTGTAAGTTTCATGGAAATCGGTTGATAATTGCGGTACGGAGCCTTTCACATGTGGCAAATAGTCTCCGGATTGACTTACCACATGTGGCAAATAGCCCCAGCCTTTTTTTTTTGAAGAGTATATAAACACCATAGCTTCATGCCTGCCTCAGGCCGAACAAACAATATTCGTACAAAGGAAAGCACAAAATCTTATATCACCCAAACGGAGCCCGCAAACAATTAGAAACTCCTAACTTTACAATAAAATATAAACAACATAGTGTATCTCAGCCCGAACTAACAAAAAGACGAAACTCTACTCTGGGGATCTTGCATGCCCCGAGATAAGTCAGTTCAGTGATTACTCCAGCAGGACTTGTGAGACACCAAAGACAAAGTCTCCGCCTGGAATGCTTACCTCGAACTGAATAATTAGTTATTTATGCGAGGTCACCAGGCCTAGGCGTCGAAACCTCCAAAATAAAGTTTCCTCCATGATTTCTACCCGAAAAGCCGACAGATTTACAATAAGGATATTGGGCTACAAGTTTGGTAGATGCAACTAAGTCATTTTTATTACACGAAATCGATTAAATGGAAATCACATTTTGACTTGAGCCATTTGACGGACGTTTTGAAGACAAAAACAGTAAGAATCTAAAATGTAATTTGGCAAAATGAAATGAAATGGGGTTTACCCACTGATCTATATAATAACGTTATTATATAGATCAGTGGGTTTACCACGTCGGAAAACCCGATGAACTTTCTCGATCGTCCAATACTGCGTAATTTAATTTGGCAAAACATATTATATTATGGCCATACATATCGATATCAAAAGAAGCTTCCTATCTGATGCATTGAAATTCCTGGTCTTTCGAGTTATATTTATATATTGTGTCGTCGCGTGTACTTCTGTCGTTTTAATATTTAATAAATTTAATATATTTCTCGGCTTCCTAATCGAATTACACATCTTGTCCGACTTGTGGGTTGGCAGTTGTGTCACCATTTTCTTGATGTGCAGAAAGCGACCTTCACCGATCATGTCTTAATTCCCACCTACAAAAACGTTACAAATTCTGCTCAGCTAGCTATTGGCAGCTCCTCTCCTTTTTGGTACTTTGAAGGGTGCGCTGTAGCATCAACAGCGCCAACCTACCAGTTCGCACTCGGCAAACCTCGGCATTTTCCGTTACTCTGCTGGAATCTGCTGAGGTTTGCCGAGTGACCAGTTCGTTCACTCGAATCAAGATGGCGGCCTGCAGGCGACGTGTCGTAAATGAGCTTGTCGTAACAATATTAATAATTTCTACCATATTGTGTGATGCCAAAAAAGATGACATCGGGATGGTTAAAAGAAACAAACGGGGCGTAGTAAATGAGCTTAGAAATAAGGCAAACGAAGATCTAGGCAAGTCGAAAAACTTAAGGAAAGGTGGTAACAACAATTTCTTCAACAATGCCGTCAATCAATTTGAAAATAATGATCAGAAAAATGCCAACAGCTTGAATAATAGGCCTCTTACCAGACAGAAAAATATAAAAAGTAAGAACATCATGCCTCCTGGACAATTTAGACCAAATGATCAACTAGTAGTCGGGAACAATAGAGGAATCCAGCAAATGAAAACTCGACAGATAAAAATAAGTGAATCAAAAGCTTGTGCAGATGATGTTACTCGGTTTTGCCATGGCAATACCAATAATTTTGCTGTTCTTGACTGCTTACAAAATGATCTTAAGGTATTGTTTGCAATTTTTATTATTAAAACTTCAAATAAATAAATTGTGCATAAACCAGACTAGAAATGGTTCCACTACTGCTGTCTTCCGGCTTTACTACGGGTTTCCAGACCAGTCGGACCAAAAAAAAGACCACTCGGACCAACCCAAAAGACTAGTCGGACCAAACCAAAAGACCACTCGGACCATATTATAAGGCTTGACTTATTCATTCTAAAAATAAAATACAGACAATATGTTATTTATTATTAAATCACAATACAAAGAGGCAAATAATTTATTGGCGAGTATATACATAACTTAACAATATCTTCGTTACTAAATGTGCGTTACGGGTAAGTACATATTAGCAAATAGTCATCTTTATTACATCAACAATTTAATTGTTTTTCTTTGATGTGCTTCATCAACTTGATTAGCTTGTAACACGGTAGAAATTGTCCCACTACTGAATAAATGTTTGGCAAGAGATGATTAAGATTTCAGTATTCTACTCTTCACTATTTGTAACATAATTACTTATTTCCATGCAACTGTAGCCGTGAATAAGAATTATCACGGCTACAATTAGTGCAGCTAGTAACACGGGTGAGAACAGATACATACGAATTAATTACTACACAATTATCAATTTTTTAAAACAACAATTAAAACAACACTTTATTATTGGTTCAAGTAGTCATATTAAAACAAACACAATTATCATTTTATTAAAACAACACTTTAATATTTGTACGAGTAGTCATATTAAAACAAACACAATTATTAATTTATTAAAACAACACTTTATTATTGGTCCGAGTGGTCTTTTTTATGGTCCGAGTAGTCTTTTTTTATGGTCCAAGTGGTCTATCGGTTGGTCCGACTGGTCTTGGTCCGAGTGGTCATGGATTCGTACTACGGAGTTCCTTTGCACAAGTTTTTTAGTCAAATGACTACAAAAAGGTTGCTGGCCTATAGTCTCCCTTAATTTACACATAAACTGTCCCAAAACTGTACTGCACATAGCTTAACATATAATAAACCAATTCTCATTGAAATAAAGGTGAAGCTTTACCGCATAATGATAATGATATGAAACCCAACTGCTATGCGAAATTTCTCGCCTACCAAACATATTTCAACTGGCCGGTGTCATGGTGGCTTTCACATTATATGAAACATGGCTTTGAAAATGTAGGACGCATTACCACAAAGAAAAACTGTTCGGTAACTACATGTATTTTAGTGATCCAGTCTTCATTATTTGTGATAGAATTACTTATTTCAATACAAACTGTAGTGTAATGATATGTGTTGACAATTGCGCGTTTGAACCTATTTGAACTTGTGTAAGGAGTCTTAGACTGTATCAATTGTTGCGTTAAACACAGTTTCACGATATATTTAATTGTAGCTAAACCCAGACGTAATCTATCATAAGTACAAACTCTTCTGAATTGTTCTCGATGCATTGAATATATAACATGCACATAATTTGGTAAACATATAAATGTAAACCAGAACAGGCATAGATCTCAGTAAAGAAAAAAACAAAAAACAAATGAATTAATTCTCTGCTGGATTATTGATATGTAACTCAGAAGCAAGTTGTTCAGTCTTTACAACGCTTGAAAGTATTAACGGCATGAGGTACTGTAGTCTTATTTCATAAATACAGTATTTACATGGTATTGATAAACATCCATGGTTATTTATAACCTCTACCTTTAATTCTAATTGTATTGAACATGAGATTTCTATATTTACTCACAACATGTATGACAAATTGTACCTTATGTGTGGAATAATTTGGTATTGTATTTTTTTCAGATGGAAGATGAAGTTGCTGCAGAATGCCAAGATGTGAGTAATTACTATTAAACTCAAGATCAATATCATTGGATCAATTCCTAAATTATTAATGACTACAGTGTCAGTGATAATTTCAATATAAAATAATCTAGATTTGAGTACTATAATAACCATAATTAAAAAATCGTGTCACTTAAAATATTGCAAAAAGAGCCATGTTTAGTTGGCAAGAACTGTATTGACATATTAAAGGAATTAGGCTTTATTTCAGTTTGGGAAGGGCAATACTTGCTGGTCATATATTAAGGAGAGTGAGTCTATTCATTCTGATGGGAGAATACCATGGTCGGGAGGTCCAATAGAAATAGTCCCTACATTCCCTTGTTTTTATCCAATCTATACTTAATAAACTATCTACTTATCTAGTGACAGTCAATTATTGTCCCCCGCCTTTCGAAGAAAGCAGGGGACTATTAAAATGGGTTTTGGGACACAATAACTTTCCTTCTACTTGGTGTAGGTGTTTATTAGGTCAATGCCTTGATGGTGTTTGAAGGTGAGCATTATTAAGTATAGATTGAATAAAAACAAGGGAATGTATGGATTATTTATATTGGACCTCCCATGGTATTCTCCCATCAGAATGGATAGACTCACTCTCCTTAAAATATAAGACCAGCAAGTGAATGTCTTGACTAAGTTCAATGATTAATATTTCCCATTAAAGTTAAGCAGAGCTGAGTAATTTCTTTGGTCGATGCTTTGGGACAAGATAACTTTGATTCTAACTGATGGAGAGTGATGAAACTTAGTGTATAGTTTCATTCACTACCATGTACTTCAAAACCTGAGTTTGATAGTGAACATTTTATGCTTAGACTAAGCATAGATAATCAGTTTGATAACTCGATACTTTTGAAAATGATAAATGTGCAATTGATTAATAAGTGTCATCTGTTTTCTTTTTGGATTTTGGCTGAGGACATCAGCCTCACTGTTGGCTTGTTTTGTTTGAATTGTCAGAGCATAAATTCATCTGTTTATGTTTTATACATGTAACTTGTCACTTCAGTCAATTATACAATTATATCGAAGGAAAACTTGTGTTTTCCTTTTGCTTTCGTCACTTCCGTTTCTTATAAATCTTCAATACGTCTCTATCATAGAAATGATCTGTTTTAAAATTACATCTGGAACGTGTTTAACCAGTTCTGTCACATATGTGAGAATGACTGACACCAGTGACCAATATTGTCCTTTAATACTATAGAGTGCATACAGCTTCTGTAATAGTTGGAGGTCAAGAATAAGTGTGAATGCTACACATTGTTTGTACTAACGTATATGTATTGCCAAGACAATTGTGGAACAATATTACTTTGCTCATGTTTATACACTGACATTTTGCAACATGTGCTGGTGCTCAACAGAGTTAACTTCTTACCAAAGTTTTGTTAAATTCACTGGAATTAAAAGCATATGCTGATAGCATTTTTTCATTAAATTTACTGGAATTTTAAGCATGTATGTTGATAGTAATGATAGTGTATATTACATTGAGTTTTTTGATAGGCATTTTGTTATTGAACATATAACACAATGCAATTTTATCACAATACACAATTATTTAATTTATATGCAATGTTTCGATAGGGACACTCTTGTCTTAATCAAACAAATGATAGAAATATGTGAATGGTAGATAATTATACAGAATATGCAAGCACAACAACAATGAATTACAATTAAAATGTTACACCTTTGGCTTTATTTTGTTGAGGAACATTTCTTGCTCATACTTAATCTAGGTACATGTATTATTGTATGTTCAACTAATTATAGCCTTGCCTTTTTTTTTGTTAGTTTCTCTGGCATTACAAACGTAATTTGACAAAAGACAATCGCTTTGATAGTGCTAGTAAGGAGGTTTGTCAGTTGGAACTTGAAAAGGTAAGTGTTATCCATCAAAGAAAATGATGTAAATGTGAAGTGTGTTGCATTTGTTGGAAAAAGTATGTCAATGTCTATATTTTATCAGATTTGTAAATAGTTCAGTTAGAAAAAGTATTGGCCTATACCATTTTAACCACAGTACATGTACATACACTCTAATTCATTATGTGTTATGTATTTATTACTTTCTTCTTTTTTTCTTCTTTTTTTTTAATAGATCCCAGAATGTTCGAATTTACAAGCTGGCTCTGGTTTTATGATACCATGTCTCATTGAGCATATTGAAAATGTTACGAATAAGGCTTGTCAACAGTATTTAGCTAAAATGTCCAGTATTGTCTTTAGTGATTATCGTCTTGTTTACAAATTTGTTGAAAACTGTGAAACAGATATCCAAACTCTTCAATGTGGACGTCTACTAGATAAAAAGGATGAACAAGTAGGCTTAATTATGATTTGAATATTAAGCACATTATTACTGTTTTGATTATCATTTTTTATATGCCCACATTGAAATGTGGTCGTATATTGTCGTCGCCTCCGTCCAACGGTCCGGCGTCTACAATTGCATGTGGACGCTCTAGAGGCTAAAGTTAATATCCGATTGACTTTAAACTTATACACAGTGTTTAAGATCATGAGACGAAGAAGCCTATTGATTTTCAGCGATTTCGGATAATTACTGCCAGAGATATGGCCCTTGTTCACTTTAAAAAATATTGTGGACGCTCTAGAGGCTAAAGTTAATATCCGATTCACTTTAAATTTATACACAGTGTTTAAGGTCATGAAACGAAGAAGCCTATTGATTTTCAGCTATTTCGGATAATTACTGCCAGAGTTATGGCCTGGCAACCTATCTTCTACTTAATTTGATCATGATGAAGTAAACTAAATGGGCCAACATTCCAGTGTTTAAAATTCGGCAAAGAAAGTTGTAAGCCAACAGGACCCGCTGGTAGACGCCATTCATGAAAGTTGTAGGTCCTAACATTAAAGGAGCTAAATCGCTAACATTTGGGACCTAGAAATTGACACAAGTGTGTCGCAACTCATATCATACTGTAATATGAATGTATATAAACTGATTTAGATTCAATCGTTTCCGTTTTTACTCTAATTTCAAATCAGTTATGTTCCGTGAAATAAGCCAGCAGTCTCAATCGAATGCAAATTCCTAGCGTCTGGTTATTTCAGTCTACATACACCGTTTGGTTTGGTGCAATATGTCTAGCCTCGTTCCTCGAGTCTCTTGCTAGAGCTGGGGCTGAAACGCATTATGGTACAAGATTTGTGTACCAATGGTAAAATATTTATTTTGTCTTAAATATTGGATATCAGAAGCCCATCTTTTTCCGATAAGATCACAGCATCAATGTTGTTTTAAATTGACAAATAATTTGTGTTTTCAATGTTGAAGATTTTGGATGATATGACTTAGCTACTTTAACTTGTGGGCCCAATAAATATTAACAAAACACACGTACACTACCCCACCCCAAATTCCTTGAACTTCTAAGTTCTGTAGGTGTCTTCTACAGCCATTTGGGACAGGTTTAAAAGTTAAAATATGTATTCAATATTGATTAACTGTTCACATTACAATTTTAACTTTTGAAAGATTTAATGTTTATACTTCGTGTATAGAAAGAAAAAAAATCATTCCATCCCAGGCTTGATATTTATTTTTTCTGTAATAAATAAATATTCACTTATAATAATCTTGGTGAGTATATGTAGGTCTACTTTGTATTACTGACAACGTATCTTGAAATTCCATTCACATAGAAATCTGAAGATTAAAATGGCCCTTCACATTCTCCGAAAATTAATAGAAAATATTGTGCATATAAATGAAATGAAATGAAACTGGCTTTTAAGGTCTTACAAAACACAGATTAATACATGTATGTCTTACATTTCAATGAATTAAATTTGCTGTCCGATAGCAATAATCATTTGATTTGTTTCATTCATAATGACGTGTTAAACTGTGTAATGAAAGACCATGACCTCTTTCAACATGAAAGTAAACTATCAGTGCTTTTTGGCAGACGATACGTCATTTTTTATCATTATTAAAACTGACCTGATGTCACCCGTTGAGATAGCCTACATATTTATGGAACGATAAACTCTTTGTTATTCTTCCTATATGACATATTGCAAGTGCCTGATTTCGAAGACTTGGGTCTGCAGTACGGTAGTGAAATCTTCATTAAAGAAATAGACTTGATAATCAAGTCTGCTATTAAATCACAAGAGTTGGAAATAATGGCGGGAAAGGCCACTCGTTTTACCTCGCTGGAATTATATTGTTAGGGTGACCCACCATAAATAAATATCTCCAAATATCTCGACAATTATGCCACAATATTTATATATATGCCAAGCCTCAAATCAGTTTCACACAATTATAGTCACTAAATAAACGTTCATGTTGTACTTAATAAGCTATGACCATTAATCATCTATAAATAATAGACTGAAAACTGGTTCCAAGTGTCGTCCATAACATCCAGACACTTTTGAGTAAAAGATAGGTTACGTGCGCTTCTTTTGAAATTAGTCTCGCTTAACCAGTCTATCGACCATTCTACGTCTGATTGACAGGTCGGGATAATCAAGTCTACTTTTTTACGAAACATAACAGAAAGCTAGAACAAGAAATTGAATTTAGAAATAAGCACGTTAGCTAGCTCAACAATTGTTTTTTAGAAGCTTGTAAAAGTAAAATGAAACTACTGCTAGTATCATGTTCCTGTCTAACCCGAGTGTTTCAGAGATATTATTTGTACTAAACCAAAAGATGCAGCTCTTAACGGTACAGTTAATGATAAAGCGATTTAAAAAATGAAACAAACGTAATTTCTAAATCTGCTGTAATAACCAAGAAGCTTAATTTTACTGCTATTCAAAACCGTCAACAATAAATTTTTTATGGCTGTAATAGTTGATAGATTTGTAGAGAATTGCACGTGCCGTGGCAATTTATAGTATCATACTGTCAGAAAGTTGGTTTCGACACGGCGAATGTGCACGCTTCAGTGGTAGTCTCGAACTATCAGAGGTGGGCTGTATTTCTGTAGAGTGCATGGGTCACCCTAATATTGTTACCCGTAGTTAGGCTTTCAGGGAATTTTCAGATCTGGTTTTTCAATTTTATTTTTACAAGACATAGGTTTTATATTACGTCAATATTTATTCTTGGTTCATGACAGTACATTAGATGGACTGACCTAGTTTAGTGGCATACGTGTTTGGATCTCTCCATTGAATGAATATAATATGCCGGATTATGCATGTGTATTCAATATCGGATAAAGACAAATAAGACAGTAAGTAAGGCATACCATCAGAACACACACTCATCTATTCCACACTTGATCAAATTGGTTAAATAATATCCTCCTGAACTCTGGGAGCGTGCTGATAGCATGACCTCACTCCTACAACAATACTTTTTTTCGGTGGACAATTTTATTTTTGTCCCCCGCCTTTCGAAGAAAGCAGGGGACTATTAAAATGGGTTCGTCCGTCTGTCTGTCTGTCCATCACTCTTTTTTGGACACAATAACTCTCCTTCTAATTGACCTAGAATGTTCACACTTGGTGTAGGTGTTTATTAGTTCAGTGCCTTGATGGAGTTCGAAGATGAGCATTTTCTGCTTAAGGTAAGCAGAGATAAGCAATTCGATTGGTTGATGCTTTGGGACACGATAACTTTAGTTCTAATTAAGCGAGAGTGATGAAACTTGGTGTATAGTTTCATTACATCAATACCTTGACTAAGTTCGATAATGAGCATTTTCTGCTCAGGGTAAGCAGAGCGATTAGCAATTTCATTGGCCGAGACTTTGGAACACAATGACTCTCCCTCTAATTGAGCTAAAATGTTCAAACTTGGTGTAGGTGTTTATTCGGTCAATGCCTTAAAGGGGTGTGGAGATGAGCATTTTCTGCTTAGGGTAAGTAAAGATAAGCAATTTGATTGGCTGATGCTTTGGGACACGATAACTTTAGTTCCAATTTAGTGAGAGTGATGAAACTTGGTGTATAGTTTCATTACATCGATACCTTGACTAAGTTCGATATTGAGCATTTTCTGCTCAGGGTAAGCAATTTGATTGGCCAAGACTTTGGAACACAATAACTCTCCTTCTAATTGAGCTAGAATGTTCAAACTTGGTGTAGGTGTTTATTGGGTCAATGCCTTGATAGAGTGCAAAGATGAGCATTTTCTGCTTATGGTAAGTGGAGATAAGCAATTTGATTGGTTGATGCTTTGGGACACGTAACTTTAGTTCTAATTAAGTAAGAGTGATGAAACTTGGTGTATAGTTTCATTACATCAATACCTTGACTAAGTTCGATGATGAGAATTGTCTGCTTAGGCTAAGGAGCAATAAGCATTTTGATTGGTCAAGACTTTGGAACATAACAACTCTGCTTCTAATTGAGGTAGAATGTTTAAACTTGATGTAGATGTTCGTCTTGACTGAGTTCAATGATTAACATATTGAGCTAAAGCTAAGCAGAGATAAGCAATTTCCTTGGTCGATGCTTTGGGACATGATAACTTTGATTCTATCTGATAGAGAGTGATGAAACTTAGTGTATAGTTGATAATCAGTTTGATTGCTCGATACTTTTGAAAAAAATAGATGTGCGATTAATTAATGTGTCATCTATTTATTTGGGATTTCAGCGGGGGACATCAGCCTCACTGTTGGCTTGTCATTTCTGGTAATGAAATACTGTTAAATATCTGGATGAAATATATTTCGGATATGAATAGGGGCAATATAAATATTTTCAAAGGAGAATTTGATAGAACCATGAACAAAATATCCATGACAAAAACAGTCAGCTCACAGGGCTGACCCGCCATCTTCAAAATAAAAAGATGTCGGCCTGTCCAGTTATTTATCGGCGTCGGGCCGATGGACCGACGTAAATTTTAAACACTGCTACATCCATATTTGATCCATTTGTACAAAGCCAAAGGTATTATTGTGATTGTCAACAGTTACATGTATCTGACAGGTTAATTGACTGAAAAAATATACAATAGTGGCCGATTGGCTGTTTTATCTATCACAATTTTTCAACATCAGACTTTGAAATGAGTCATTGTACAATTATGTAGATTATACAAAATTGTGCACATAATGATATGATATATAGGTGTGTTGTCGTGTCATTTCAGTCAAAAGCCTATTTTACAGATTGGGCCTGTGGGTAAGACATGGCTTGCTAACCTGGTGGTCCCGTGTTTGATCCCAGCAATGGCCAAGGAAGTTCATCATGATTTTTCGGCACAGTTCCTCCTTGTCAGTGGTGCCGGTTGGATAAGAGTGAAAACTGAGATCGTGTGTACACGTTGGGTGCACATAAAAGATCCCTCGGCAGTTTGAATTCGATATAATGGCAGGCAGTAGTGCCACTGTCCGGGCAAAATTTCCCTCATAGCACACTGTATGACGTATGCTTGTCTTCAATAGCCCAGTTGGACCAGAACAGTAGGACGTTAAACCCCATTTTTATTTAAGAAAAATTGAAATGAATGTAATACATGTATATTAAATTCTTAATTGCAGGCTTTACACAATCAAGGATTAACTATAGATTGTTTGGCTACAAGAATGGGCAAGTTGAATCCACAATGTAAGAAAGAAGTTTTGAGAACTTTAGAATTACAATCCGATGATTACCACTTGGATCGTCCTTTGTTTTATGCTTGTCGAGATGATCGTGAAAGCTTCTGTGCCAATGTTAGATCAGGTGGTGGAAGAGTTTATGAATGTTTATATAAGCATATTGCTAGTAAATCCATGAGCAGAGAAGTAAGTATATTCTCTCTGATTCCTGATCATATAAAAAAATATTGAGTACCCAGACATGATTTTTTCCTGCGGATTTCAGCTTTTTGTCCCGTCCGGTTCTAATCTTTTGCGGTTGGTTCCGATTTTTGATAACACTCTTGTTACGATATTGTTCAGCTTTAATTCAAGCACCATGTTTGAAAATCGTAATATCATAAAAAAAATTATTCATTTTTTCTTGACGAATTTCTAACTTGTTAACTCCAAAATATCCATCCTTAACTTTAATAACCGGATGTTGGCGATGTAAACATTAACAGTACGGTATCGTAGACTCACGCGAGATTGAACAATGACTAAGGTCGTAGATTGAGACGTCAAAACCAAACTATTAGACAAAGGACTTTACAATGTTTGGAAGTTGAAATAGTTGGAACGGAAGGTGGAAGGCGAGCTTGTGAGACATTCTATTCGTAAAGTCAATGTCCGAAGAGTCGTGAATTATTAATATTAATATTATTAATCACGAAGGGAGGGGGATGGAGAAGTTTAGGGCAACACATCTCAAGTTTAGAAAATTATACAGAGACAAACAAAAGATCGGATCTGTAGTTCAAACATTATTTTTTTTTGTTAGTAAGTATTCTCTGTAAATGGTAGGGATATAAATTAAATATAAGTTAAGCCAAAATTTGTAGTAAATTAGTAGACAAATAAAAGAACTTTAAAATTCATTTTCAGACCCCCCCCCTCCTCATTACTATAAAATCGAATATGGCCCCCCATAACACACTTGCGCTAATGTTTTAACCTTATATATTTGTCTCCGACCTTTTGAAGAAAGTAGGGAACTATTAATTACAATTGGAAATGGTTGGAACAGAAGGTGGAAGGCGAGCTTGTGAGACGTTCTATTCGTAAAGTCTATGTCCGAAGAGTCGTGAATTATTAATATTAATATTATTAATCACGAAGGGAGGGGAATGGAGAAGTTTAGGGCAACACATCTCAAGTTTAGAAAATTATACAGAGACAAACAAAAGATCGGATCTGTAGTTCAAACATTATTTTTTTTTGTTAGTAAGTATTCTCTGTAAATGGTAGGGATATAAATTAAATATAAGTTAAGCAAAAATTTGTAGTAAATTAGTAGACAAATAAAAGAACTTTAAAATTCATTTTCAGACCGCCCCCTCCCCCATCCTCCTCATTACTATAAAATCGAATATGGCCCCCCATAACACACTTGCGCTAATGTTTTAACCTTATATATTTGTCTCCGACCTTTTGAAGAAAGTATGGAACTATTAAAATGTGTTTGTCTCAGTGTTGGGATTTTAAATTTTTTCTTGTCAGACATTTTTTCACGAAAATAAAGGTTCATAACTCTTATCGTTATTTAAGCTGGTGGTTTCAGACCACAATTAACCCTTTCAATGCTAGACGTAAATCCACTGCCTGTGCTAGACCCTTTTTTGAGGAAAAAAGGGAGGTTGGAACTGAATGCCAAGCAGTACTTATGGAAGCTTTTATGAAAAATCTTTTTGTCTGTTGGGGTGGGCATGAGGTTGGGCTAAGAGGAAAAAATAGAATTTTGGAAATTTGCATAATAATGTAGTCACGTGACGTCATGGCGGCCATTTTGGAATTCTCATTTCTCACTAAAGCTAATCTGAAAACGAATTTTTCTCCATGAAATACTTAATAGATATTGTTTTTTTCACTGGATTTTGATAAAGATATACATGTATAAAATGAACAAAAATATCAATAGCAGCCATGAGCAATGCCGCCACGAACACACGCATCACGTCTCCCGCTGCCATGACCACGTGCGGATTGCAATACCTTGTTTTTACTTTCACTTTCACTTTCATCCCCAAGTCCCATATCATTATCAATATAGTCAGTTAATAGATCTACACGTTCGGGACTCAGGAATTGCCTACGTCTTTTACGATCCAGCAGGCCAGCATTATTATCAACATCAGAATTATTGTCAGAATCTACTGCAGACACAGGGCTATCAGGTTCACATTGGGCTTGTTCATCATGCACGGGAGACATAGCTAGCCATGTGCGGAACATCGCGCAACAAATCACACACTTCATAATACCAATCACTATCCTGACTACTATCATTATCAAGTAACTGGAAACGAATTATGTGTATCACCCGCCTCGAAATTGTCCACGTGTTGGTCAGCAAGACGTCATTCATGACTTCGTCGAGAGTGCATCGTCTACGTTGTCACTATGCACTCCGCCATTTTACGGTTTGCTGCTTTGAAACACGTGGAAATATGTTCTAGTGTATAGAAAATACAATAGATGGCACTTGCAGTTACGGTACTAATTTTAGCGAGGGCTTTACTGAGTACACGGTAATACCGGGTACGCGCATTTTACCGACATTTTATAATACCCGGTACTACCGGGTATACGCAGTGAAAGGGTTAATAATCATGTGTCAACAAGATATTCAAATTCATACGTAACAAAAAAATTTGTGCACCTCGGTATTTTTCATATTTAATTCCTGTACAGTATTCAAATCTGTCAGTAATATTCCTACAAAATTAAGTGTTGTAGTAATACGATAGAATGAAAGCGAGCCAAGCTTTGCCTGTTTCAAATTCCTCCTAAATCACCATATTTTTCGGGATATAGATTTTTCCGCGGAAGTCGGGCATTCGTCTTATACTCCGTTTCGACTTTCATATGGAAGTTAGAAAAATGACATCCCGAAATTTAATTGCCAGTAACTGTCCCTCTACCACAACGAGCGAGAGACATCTGCTAAATAATCACAATCAACTCTAGCATGTGCTATCGTCTAAAACAATTAACCACTTACACTTTACCAAATGAAATATTTGTCGACATTTCTAAGCGTGTTTTTTCATTTATTTAAAAACATAAACCCCATTCACAATTTGATCATAAATCCGAGAATATGCCATCAAAATAGAATCTTTTCTCCAACATTAGACTTGTGAGATTTGGCACATTTACATCTCTTAATTTCACGTGTCTCACGATTTCTACTTTCATTTATTGTGATCAGAAACAGCTTGCATTGTCTATTATTTATTGGATATGTGTGTGTATGAAATAGCTTTATCACAGACAAGTTATCGGATACAATGTATATTGATTTGGGGTGTTATATATTATGATATGTTATATGACTAATTTCTACGTGTTGTCGACTGACATCAAGGAGATTAAAACGTTCAACAGTGGAGAAATCACGAGTTAATCACATGGATTAAGTTTATAATCACTCTTTTTGGATTGATATATATAGTCCGACAAAGGAGAAGCAATGACTTCTGTTCAGATTGGATTGATGAATCGTCCGGCAAAGGATTAAGTCAGCCAATCAAGGCAGATTAAACATACATTATGCAAGAGCTAAATCTGCCAATTGCAGGTCTTTCTTTAGGCCTGAAATGTTATCTAAATTATTAATTAGAAATTAATTAACATATCCAGACCATAATCAAGTCTCGAAGGCATTGCTAGCATGCGATATTTACTGGATTACAACCGGGTCTGCTGCTTCTGATTAAATAAAAAAAATGGATAATCGAGACTATGTTTTTTTTTATCGTACAGACTTTAGTAATAATGATGATCGAGGCTAGGCCCAAAATTCAATCGCTAAATACTTCATTCAGGGTGGATCAATTTGACTGAAATTTTCAGCAAATTCCTTTTACAATATCTAGTTTTCAACTATTATAGTGAGAACTACCAGCTCTTTATCTTATCTCTCGTAATGTATCTTTAATCAAGGTAGGTGTATAGATGGTATAACACGATAAATACCTTGATCACTTAATTACATGATCAATCCAGCCTATTATCAATGATGGTCAGGGCTCGAAATTTGTTTTTTCAATCGAAGGCCAACTTTGGCCTACGATAGGCCAAAGTGCAACCTTGATCCAAGGCCAAAAATTGAAAATCCAAGGCCAATTTTTAAGTCATGAATTATGATATTATGAGTTTATTTAGAAGGTTTTAATATGTCATATGTGAATCTGTTTATTGTAGATCTTTTTTCTCAGTCAAAATGTTGTTACAGGCCTGACTATCACATCACGTTCAATATTTTTATTACTTTTACAAAAATAATGCATCCTTACAGTTAAAGGGGGGGGGGGGGATAAAATTAATATCGTAGCCTACCGTTTTTAGTAGAATTTTTTATTCTACTAAAAAATATTTTAAAAATCGGCATGTGGCCATATTGAGAGGTGAAAGTATTACTATATCATCGGTAGAGCTGGATAAAATATCGATATAAATCGATAGTATCGATAAGATATGCCAAAAAGCACCATCGTCATCGAGTATCATTCTCTTTGTCTATTTTTCGTGCGTGCGTAGGAGTCGACTCGATGTTTTCTGTGACTTAATCCTTCGTATATATAACAATACAATAGCCTACATCGGTCACTTTATATTTACTTCAAAGTCTCAATCTCGATGTGGCATTTTTTTAAAAATGTTAAAATAAATTCACCCTCATTTAAACAATACTTTAGTTTGAAACAATAATCGCCATATCATGGAATTCGCTAAATTGGAGATACCTGGATGTGTAAATAATTCAGAGTTTTTCCCCTTTCAGAATTCGTCTGCTCATTATAAATGACATAGCACTGATGGATGACAAAATCGTTTGTATTTCTTCTTTCGGAATCAAGGCTACATTATTTTAATAATAATAAACAATTTACGAATTCGTGATAACAAGCTCTTTAGGCTATTAAATTTTCTTTAGTTTTTGCACGCGAATCGACAACGAATTGTCCGCCATGTTGGTATTTGTCGCGCTCATGTACGCAATGTTTTGAATCGACTCGTGCTCATTTTATTTTGGTTTCTGCACATACATAGGCATATCAATAGTATTTCATCATTAAGAACCAAGGCTACATTATTTAAAAATAAAGAACAATTTATACGTAATATGAGACAGTTTGTTATTAATTAGACGAACACAAAAC